TAGTATATTTAAATCTGCTAGTTCATCCAACACTTTATAAGCACTTACAGCAAACGTTTTTTTTTCCCTTTTGGGATAAAAGTTTTACAGAAATAAAAACGGATCATCGTAAGCACCCCTGTCAGTAGTAAACAGTTTGTCTCAACCCTTAACTGATACATCTGCTGGAGAACTTTGAAAAAAACAGACTTACTGGCCAGATGAAAATAGAAGAAAGGAAGACTAAAAAAAGGTGACTAATTCAGCCATCACATCTAAGAATTGTTAAGTTACAATATAAAAAAAGGTTTGCTTTTGGATTTACTACTGCTTTAAAATTCATACAGTTATACAGAAGTCCACGGCTAGTGTTGCCATAACATTACCCGGTTCCTAGGAAATGTGACTTCGTTCAAATATACCAGCTATGCAGGCTTTAGGTTTTCTGCATGGCTGAATCAAATACAAATTTTTGGTTTCAGTTTCAGAAGTACTGTAAATCCTCTCTTATAATGTATGAAGAACTTAAAACATGACTTCTTAGTCGCTACTTACCTTGCATCTGGAGTTATGTTCACCAAAGGCTTGAAGGTTTCTTGTAAATACAATTCTACAAAAACACAGGAGACATGTTAGAGTGATCTGGTAATATTCACATTTTATTAATACCAGTAATTATTACTAATAATATTTCATACCAGTAAACTTTAATATTTTGTTTTAGACAGCTGTTTGGCTATTTATTACTTTAATAGTTAAAGTGGAATTCAAGCCAAAAAGTTGGAAAGTGTTGGAACCTCAGCCTGGTCTTTATTTACAACTGCACACCCCCCCCCCCCCCCCCCCTGGATAGATTTCCTCTCACCTTTCTAGTGATCTCTAGGACAGGAGCTGAAATTGCAAAGGGGCACAGACAGCAACCCTCTATATAGAATTAAAGAGGAATTCCACCCTGAAAAAAAATAAGTCAGCAGCTACAAAAACTTTAGCTGCTGACTTTTAAAAAAAACAACCACTTACCTGTCCTTCGGTCCCGCGTTGTGTCCCCCGCAGTCCATTTCAATGGCCATCCTGTATTCCAGGAGGCCAGCATCTTCAGTGTGTGCAACCGGCTGTGATAGCTTGCGGCTTTCCAGCCGGGTACCCACTGTGCATGCGCGAGCAGAGCTGCGCTTCATGAATGGTCCTGTAGTTTCTGGGACCTGTCACGTGTCCCAAAAGACTACAGGGAGGGAGGACACCTATTTCCGATCGCCTAGAAGTGGGAACTTTTCAAATTTGGGTACCCACTCCCCCCCACCCCCAAAAGATGCCAATCCTTAATGGGGAGCAGTTCTTAAAGCGGAACTTCCCCTTTTGGGTGGAGCTCCGCTTTAAAATGTTAATGTTCCAGCTGGCGTTCCAATTTATCACACAGAATCCTAGGTTTAAGGCCAGCCATACGTGTAGATTTTTGGACGAGAATATTCATACGAAAAGTCGTACAAAAATTATTTGAACATTTGATGAATGGACAAATGTCATTTGAAAAAAATGTCTTTTAACAACCGACTTTAAAATGAATGTAATTTCTGAACAATAACCACATACACTGGCTGAAAATTCATTTGATCGAGAAGAGTTTTCCTTCCTGCCCCTTCAAAATTTTCCCGTCACTGCTGTCAAAAATGAACATCAATTTGACCCACTGGATACTCGAAAAGTGCTGTTTTTGTTCTGGAGGTCCCGATCTCAATTCATATACCAAACCTATCCATAGAAGCATACTGCTGCCCTGCTTGAAGTGCTATTGAACCCAAAACCAAAAATGCAATATACAGTATTACAGCTTACCAATATTTAGATGTGGTGGCTGCATGAATTTTCCTTTTTAAAGGCATTTCCCTTTTGTTTTCACCTGGTGATCTAGACAGTAAATATACCTCCTGTATTAAAGTGCCACTCTGGATGAAGGAGTACAGGGAGCACATGTGGACAGCAGAATTCTCAGTCTGAGGGGGGTTAGTGTATTTAAATCTGCTAGTACATATAACAAATTGAAGCTGAACTCCAGCTAACACTTTATAAGAAGTTACAGCAAACAGTTTTTTTTTTCCTTTCGGGATAAAGGTTTTATACAAATAAAACTGATCATTGTAAGTACCCCCGCCAGTGTTGAATGGTTTGTCTCATCCCTGTTACTGATACATCTGCAAGAGAGCTTTTTCTTTTAAAAAAAAACAACAGACTTACTAGCCAGATTACCAAGTGAAAATAAAGAAAGAAGGAGCAGAAAGAATATCAGTATTGGAGCATGAATGAGACTATGTTGGTGGTTTGGGGCAGAATCGGAAACCGTGGAAAGCATATTTCACTGTATAAGACAGCCTTTTTCAAACCAAGGTGCTTATTGGGTTCTTCAGGGGGGCCTTGGCAAAATGCGTAAAAATTGCCAGGAAACCCTGCAGTTGGATCAAGCCTGCTTTTTTTTGGTTTTTCTTTTTTACACAAAGCTACAGTTTTTTTTGTGTAGCATTACAACCTTGGGCACCAAGCGTCTTGCATCTTAACAACCATGGACATCATAGGTTGACTATAAGGATGTTGGTCACCTGCACAACATCCTTGTTTGCCCCTCTCCATCAGCACAGGGGTCACATTGGCTGAGTGAGGAAGAGAGAAACTGGAGGTAAAAGAGAAACACTGGAATACTAGTCAGTACCAATAGGTAAAGGTATATTTTCTTTGTATAAATAATAAATCACCTCTAATGTTGGGTGTTCTATTTATGTGGATGCTGCCGTGTTCTATAAAACTATTATTTTTAGAATGGGGTGCTACAGGATTGTGCATCATGTTAAAGGGTGCCTTGAATGAAAAAAGGTTGGGAAACACTGGATTGAGCGATAGAGAGTGAAACAAGCCAACGAGTAAATAAGGCCATCAGAGTCCAGCAACAGCTTGACGTAAACCTGTGCTTTGTCAATGCAGTACAAAGTAACAGGTTCACTCAAGCTATTGCCCTTTTACAGCTGCACACACTTCCTTTTTTTTCCCCCACCACCACTGCCTCTGGGAGAAAGGTAACCCTGACAATGGAACTCTCTGTTCACCCTACAAGACAACGCTGGACCAAATCACTAAACAACAGCGCTGACATATTGGAGTACTGAAGCAGGTCATATGCTACCCAGAGCCAGAGGTCTTGGGTATCTCCCTTTGCTCCTGGCAGATGAATGGATTAGTGCAGGAGTGAAGAGAAGGTAAGTGCAGCTGTGGAGGGTGATTAAGAAGCTGGTCACTATTAGTATTTCAAGGTGTTTTTTTAGGGGTTTGCATTTGACAGCTCTTTAAAGCCAGTGTCAGATTTACCACTTTATAATAGCTATGGGTTTTTTGGTTTGACTGACTCTTTGAAGAAAAAAGATCTTACCCCTCCAGGTTTCTATTTTGTGTTCTTCTAACTCATAGATTTGTACCTGCAGAATAAATTAAGAGACAGGAGTTAATCGTATTATTAGAAGTGGAGGTGCTCCATCTTTAACGCTGCTCTCTGAATGACAGTACTCACTCACCATTGGAGACTTGTAGTATCGATGCAATATATTTATGAAGTCTGTAATTGTTAACATACCTGTAAAAAGAATAAAAATGAGCGACTTGAACTGGGCCCTGTATACTTTCCTATGAACTTAATTTCTACTACTATATATTTTAGTGTTCACAATAAAAGACAAACAAAAAAAACAAAAGAAGATACTGTATTGCTAGGCTGGATAAAAGGCAGATTATAGATATGCAGAGCATGTTGATGAGATCTGTCCAGCTTTCAATTGTTGGCCAAGCATCAGATGTCACCATGACTTTTCAATCTAATTTGTATGACTTTACATTCTGTGCTTGTAGTAAGAGGATCCCTGTCCCTTTTGTCATTGAAAAGGATAAAAATATAGTTGGTCAGGAAAGTTGTTACACAAGTCTGAGACTAACTGGTAGCTTCCTATTGTTATATGATATACTGTATATAGCACTATAATCTCCAAAAAAACCAAAAAAAAAAAAAAACTGGTACAAACAAGAGTGCAGTTTAACAGCCAGCATACGTAAATGAAAGGATAGACCAATACAAAAGAATAAAAAGTGTTACTAAACCCACAACAGTAAAATCAGTACATGCGGTAAAGCATGCTTGTTATACTCACTGTGGACCCTAAGGGATTAATCCTACGCAGTGTGAGAAAAGGCTGTTTTATCCTGACTTCTCTGATCCTCCCCTACTTCCAGTGTCTCCCTCTTATCTCCTGATAAGATGTATCGTGTGGAGACACTCTGCACATGCTCAGTTTGGTGTGTATTGCAAGAGAGGGTTTTTTTTTTTTGTGAGAGTGCATGTGATCAGCACAGGGCCAATCAGCACTGTCCAGACAGAGGTGAGGGATTCTGCATCCTCCTAGAGCAAAATGAAAATGCCTCCTACAAGCTTTAACCAGTGCTCTGCTGGACACTGGATATAAGTCACAAGTCTAACTGCTGGTGAGAAAATGTGTTTAGCAGTTTATATTTACGAACACAATTGCATATAAATGTTATTTGCACGGTCAGAGACCAGATATAATGAATGCTGGGTCCTGGGTTTAGTAACACTTCACAAAAAAAAAAAAAAAAAAAAAAAAAAAAAAAAAAAAGAAAAAAAAGACACTTCTTTCTTTTTTGTTTAACACCACAGCTCGGTGTCCAATAATAGAATATCCACTGAATATCAAACAGAGTACAGAATTTAGTTCAAAGGCTACCGAGGACATCCTTAACCTACTTAAGGCATCCTTGACCTACTGTGTATGGGCCATTTCATTTATTCCGTTACGGACATCCCTCTCTCCTGTATTGAGTACAGGCCTGTCACATGGAAGAGGCCAGCCATGTACTGTACAGGTCTGCCATTGAAGCATCAATACACTGCGTGTTAAAACATGTTCCTCTGCTGCCACCTGGCCTAGAAGACGGCTCAGTGGATCTGCCTATGACCAAAGTGGAGGGTTTCTGCCTTTCCACATGAGTTATTTATATAGCAGTCTTTTATCAAAATCTTTTTCCAAGAACCTCTCCAAACTTACATTCCAGATCAGAGCAGAACTGTATTTAACTCTGTCTCTATGGCAGCGGTTTACACTCCCAAGCAGATGTGCAGCGGCATGTGAAATTAGCTGCTCATTAGATGGATCTGCTAGCTTTAAGTTCCTCAAACCAGCTCCATTAAATTCTTTATATGCTTCAGGGGTTGTTCACACTTTTCTAAAGAAACGTAACAATCAACGATATCTAAAACTAAATTTAGCAAATCTTTGTTTGCTGTACATTTTTCAGCTTGTTAAGTAAATTCAAATTATTACAATAGGCTACTGAGCAATGTTGTGTTATAGCCCAAAGCAACCAATTGGTGACTTTCCACTTCTAGCTTGTTAGGTAGAATATCCATGTGCTCGGAGTTGTAATCACACAGAAGTGTCTGTGGATGGGTTTGAAGCCCCACCATCATACTGATGTGTGTACAGTCAGTGCTATCACTGAGATACTACGCGGGCCCTGTAGACACACTTTCCTGATAAACTGCAGCTGTCAGGGTGCGAAAACAGGACACTCAACAGAACTATTTTTCTAGTATGAATGTTACGTAAAAAGCATAGTTAGTAGTCCTCTTCTAATTCCTAGTCACTAGTTACAGTTGTATAAGATACATGAAGCAAACTTACCTACAAAACTTTGATTCTTTGTTTCCCATAATGGGGCAGCTCGCACACCATTGGCTACCAGTGCAAAAAAAGCCTTCTTTACCTGTAGAGCAGAGAAATTAACACCAGGGTTCAGCTCATGCAGGAAAATGTATCAAATTTTGGTTACAGATAGCGCAAATCTTACTGTATAGGGTACTCTGGATTAAACAAAAGTGTGCGTACAAAAAATATAAAAATAAAGAAAAAAATAGCTAGATCAGGGTTTGAATAAGTCAAAGTCAATGTCAAGGTTAGAGTCAAAAATCATAGTCAGAGTTCAAGGTCATGGTCAAAGGTCATGGCTAGTGCATTTTTAGGTAGGATTACAAAAATAATTTTTTATTTAGTAATGGGTCCGAGTTTTAGGTAGCATTAAAAAAAAAAAAAAAAAAAAAAAAAAAAAAAAAAAGAAGCAAAATGCTCTCTATTGTTTGTGGGCCTTACTATGGGTACTAAGGTTACGGTATCAGCAAGCAGTGTTCTTGTAAATGGGGTGGTGTCACTAGGGTATAGAAAGCAAGTATGGGCTTTGTAATTCATAAGTGGCAAATCTCCATGTAAGGGAAACAAAAGGACAGAAAAGATAGTGAAGTAGGAAATACTTTAGGAGAAGTATATAACACATTCACTGTGGTGATAGGTTCACTTTAAAATATCAGCAAGGCTCTCCTATCCCTCTTATATTGAACTGTATTGTCTCCCATTATATTGTAAAGCGCTGAGCAAACTGTTGCCGCTATATAAATCATGTATAATAATATTAATATCAATCACTTTTTTTCAAACTATTACTCGGTAATTCTAGTTTGTCTCATAGAAAATAGTTTAGTTGACCGGCGCTCCAGTGAGTGCTGGAAAGACAGAGCAGAGAGCTGGTGATTAACATTCTATGGCTCTCTGCTCTTTGAAGGCTGAGAACTGAGCGATCAGCGGTCTTTGATCGCTCACTTCAGTGCAGAGTCGGCGGGGGACAGATCCAGCATCGGATTGATGCTGCATCCAGCTATGGGAGTATAATTTTTTTTTTACAAACTCATAGTCCTCCTTCAAGACAGAGTGGCTACAGTTTATTGAAGATTCTTGGTGAAGAGGACTCCCGATCTCAACTAAGAAACCAGCCAGCAGTGCAAGGGACACTTCTCACTGAACACAAGTACTGTCCCTGTTTTCTTTCTCAATTTTAACTCAACGTTAATTAGGAAAGCTGACAGGGGAGAGAACTGTTTTGTTTACAAACAGTTCTCCCCCCCCCCCGTTGGAGATGCTTGGCAATCACCAGGCGCCGGCGAGTAATCACAGACCAGGACCCGGTTACTGACAGCCCCCTACCCGGAAATGCAAAATCACGCATATATACACGTGATTTTTCACACCCATGTCCCCCTGTAGCAGTACTTCTGCTATAGAGCAGACGGGAAGCAGTTAAATACAGAGGATGAAGATCCCATCTTGAGCATGGCACCCATGGCTAATGGGCACATAAATGTTGCCTTGAGTGCTACAGCTAGCAAAGGATTAAAGTATACCTTGTAAAACAACCCAGTCAATTTAAAATGGCAATGGAAGACAAAAACAGCCGTGTATAGATTTAAAAAACATGAAAAGCCTTTTTTCCTTTCTCCCCCTTTTTTTTTTTTAATAAGTGTTTTTAGCTGCTGCAGCAGCAGCTGGGGGAGGAGAAGCAGCAGCACACTGACCTTCTCAGTGAACGGCTGTGCATGGGGGTGTGTCAGCAGAAGTCTGATCATTGGAGGAGAGCAGGCCGGGTTCTCAGCACAGCCAAAAAACTGACCATGCTGTGTTCTGGTTAGTGTGGTCAGTATTTAATAGGAAAGCAGAGGGACAGGCAAGAACACTAGGGATTTAATACCTAGGAAGCAATACAAGAACAAGATACTTTTTCATACAAGTACATGGTACAACAGCCACTTAGCAGAAATATGAAATGTTGGCTTGGCATATTGTTTAACCTCTGGCACTAGATAGCAGCCTCAGATGTGGGCAGTAGAAACCTTATTGACAAGCTTCCTTTAAGATTATATGGGGACATTTAAAGATTTATCGACAAATTACAATGCTATTTACTACAATTCTACAGATTTGCTTATTCTAGGAAACACACACACACACTTTACAACTACAAATATTGTGTCCCGATCACAATAACAGATAAAATGTAATCATTCACTCCCTATATGTAATATAGCTAGACAAAAGGACCCCACAATTTGTACAGTAGTTTATTTCTGCACAAGACATAATATAAACTTTGACCCATAAGCCCACATAAACAGCTAAGAAGCAGTCAGAGGCTCCAACGTCATGTAAGAATTTTTGGCATTATACAACTCTGCAGAGGGAATTCCGCTATTTGCTGTTGTTCCAAAATAAGAGGAAGGACACAGAAACAAGTGTTTGATGTGTGTCAGACAAAAAAAATAAAATAAAATAAAGGCAGGATGAAAGAACATAAGCGGCACTGCAAGGCTGTATAATGTTACCAGATACTAGTAACTGTTCCCGAAGTTCAACGATACAGCAAGCCATGCAGTGTTTTCCTATAGGAGTCGCCCTACACTTCCCATGGCATTCTCGGCTATGCATAGCCACAGAGCAGGTATTACTTCAGTCATTCTTCTCTAGGGACATGCTTCTGCTTGATGGAAAACTACAGAGTACATCAAAAATAAACTTTTTTAAAAAAAAAACTTGTAGGTTTGGATAGAATAGTGAAGGATTAGAATGACTGCCATGTTTTCAATGCTCTACAGAAAGGAATAATAGAATGGCATGCCACACCATTTAATAGAAAGTCCAAAAGTATAAGACATAAGCCAACATGTAAAGACTATGGTATTGGCAGTTAGTTTTTGCAGCCCACAATATTTTTTACTTTGTTTCCAAGCACAGCGTTTTAATATCCTATCACGATTCCCAAGTTTTTCTCCTCCATATATCAAATAAACTCTGATAAAAGAGGCATGTTGACATCCTCTGAATCACATTGGCTGAACTCTTACAAGGAAATAAACTTCATATGTTACTAAACCAACAACAATAAAATCAGTCTGTATATGCAGTAAAGCATGCTGGTTATACTCACTATGGAACCTAAGGGGTTAATGCCCTGCATTGTGTAAAAATGCTGTTTGATCCTGTCTCCCCTTCTTCCAGTGTCCCCCTCTTATCTCCCGATAAAACATCATGTGGAGACACTCTGCACATACTCAGTTTGGTGTGTATTGTTGGGTTTTTTTTTTTTTTACTTGGGAAAGTGCACGTGATCAGCACAGGGCCAATCAGCACTGTCCAGACAGAGGTCAGGGGTTCTGCATCCTCCTAGAGCAGAAAGAAAACCCCTCCTACAAGCTTTAACCAGTGGTCTGCTGGACACTGACAGAAGTCACAAAACTGCTCCAACTGCTGATGGGACAAGGTATTTCACAGTTTGTATTTACAAAAACAATTGCATTTCTATGTTCTGTGTACTGTGGGAGACCAGATATAGTGAATGCAGGGTCCGGGGTTTAGTAACACTTTCAGGACTCTCAAAAAAAAAAAAATTTTATATATATATATATATATATATATATATATATATATATATATATATATATATACACAGTATATATATATATATATATATATATATATATATATATATAATGGTGTAGTGTTCCTTCCCTTTTTTGCTATCTACAGATCCATTCCAAAGCACCCTTCTGTGACTCACTGTGTAGTGAAGCTGTCTCTCCAGAATAATTGTATTTAAAGCTGGCCATAGATGGATTGAATATCAGCCAGTTCAGCAGGGACTAGACAAAATTTGATTCATGAGTGGCTGCTTCTTGTTGGAAAATTTTTATCAATCAGCCAGCTGCAACTGATCAGATACCAAATGTCAGAAAACAATGCCACTGCAAGGATTGCACCATTCCCCTCACTTGAGTTGATGGGGGAATCAGTTTGAAAAAAGTAATCTATGGGCAGCTTAAAGTGTTACTAAACCCACAACAGTAAAATCAGTCTGTATATGCAGTAAAGCATGCTTGTTATACTCACTGTGGAACCTAAGGGGTTAATCCTACACAGTGTGTAAAAAGGCTGTCTGATCCTGTCTTCTCTGATCCTATCCTTCTTCCACATTTCCCAATCCATCTGCCGATAGTACAGAGCCATAGGAGACACTATGCACACGCTCAGTTTGGTGTGTACTGCTAGAAAGATTTTTTTTAAATAATTTTTTTGGGGTAGTGTGCATGTGATCAGCACAGGGCCATTTAGAGGGACAGAGGTCATGCAGCCTCATAGAGGGGAATGAAAACTCCTAACACAAGAGTAACCAGAGGTCGGCTGGACACTGATAGAAGTCACAAGAATGTTCAGTTTCTGAAATATGTTTTAAATGTCATTTATTTAAAAAGGTACTTATATAGCGCTGTCAATTTACTTTACACACACACTAATGTCCCTAACTCACATTCATACATACACATACTAGGGCCAATTTAGACAGGAGCCAATTAACCTACCAGCATGTCTTTTGGAGCGTGGGAGGAAACCAGAGTACCTGAAGGAAACCCATGCAGGCACAGAGAGAACATGCAAATTCCAGGCAGGTGGTGCTGTGGTTGGGATTTGAACCAACGACCCTAGTACTGCCAGGCGGAAGTGCTAACCATTTAGTCACTGTGCTGCCCAACACGGTCATAGTGTTCTGTTTCAACCATAATGACATGAAAATGATCACTGCCAATAGCAGGACTGGGACGATCTCACCTGTAACGTAGTGTCAAACACAACAAGCTTGGAGCTGGTGGGCACAATGTCATAACACTTGTGCGATTTCATGAAGCGCATGTATATGTCACTCTCCGATTCTTCAACAGCTGGAAAACAAAAAACACTTGTAAGTCTGATACATTCACATATCCAGGTCATTGGAGATATTATATAATATATATATATATATATATATATATATATATATACACACATATACACACACACATACACACACACACACACACACAGTGCCTTGAAAACTTCCACATTTTGTTGTTACAACCAAAAACGTAAATGTATTTTATTGGGATTTTATGTGATAGACCAGGCTTCACTAAATGGAGGAACCGCGGTCTGGATGTGGACCGAGCCACTGTTTCGCCATTTTGGAGCCGTTTCTCCCCCCCCATCCTCCACCGCTGTTATAACAGCAGATCGGACAGCAGGAAACAGAACTTTTCTGGAGTGAGTGTGGAAAAACAGCACAGAATTGAACAGGGAGTGGCAGCTGTCAAAACACTTCTGGATCGGAAGCACAATGAAGCATTGAATACAGCGCGAGAGCTGCCGGGGTTACATTTTTAAGTTAACCAGCGGCTCATTGGAAACAGGGCAGTGCTAGCAGCCAATCTGGTTAAAATACAAAAAGTTGACCCCGCAGCTCCCGTGCTCCATTCAATGCTGTACTGTGCTTCCCGCATCCGATCCAGAAATGTTATAACAGCTCCCACGCTCCATTCAATACTGTGCTGTTATTCCACACTCACTCCAGAAATGTTCTGTCTCCTGGTGTCCGCTCTGCTGTTATAAAACAGTTGATGTGAGGAGGGCAGAGTATACTACTGGGGTGGGGTGTGAAGGGGGCAGTGCTGTGTGTGTGTTGGGGGGGGGGGGGGGGCTGATGTGAAAAGGGCAGAGAACATTACTGTTGGGGGTTGATGTGAGGGGGTGGGACAGGGCTGTTTGGGGAGCAATGCTGTGGGGAGGGATATGTAAAGGGGGGCACAGTTGTGGGGGGGGGGGTGTGAAGGGGGCACAGCTCTGCTGGTGGTTCTGTGAAGAGGACAGAGGTCAGTAGTGTGGGGCAGGGGTGATATTTGAAGGAGGGTTGAGCACTGCTGAAATAATGGGGGTGTACTGTAAATGGGTCAATGGGGGCGATGTGCAGGGGGCCTGAGAACACTACTGAGAAGCTGAAACTGATGTGAAGTTGGGGACTGTGATGTATGTGGGGGAGGGACGATGACTGAGGACACTGACGTTTAGGGATTGTGATATACAGTAGCTGAGGGCTGGAAAAAAAAAATGCAGTTCAGACCTCTGTTTGAAGAAAAATTTTACTGGTCGGACCTCCATGACTTTTAATTCAGTACCCCTGATCTGGGGGATTTAAGTAACTTTATGGCCAAAATGAAGATTTTTTAGGTATGCCAAAAATGAAAAAATTGCTTTAGTGCTAAAGCGGTTAAAGTTGAAACACAGATGTGAAAGTATTGATTTGTTAAGGAGTTGTAAATCCAGGGATCTCTAGCAGTCTTGAATTGATGGTTTACGAAGGCCTTCACATTATAATTGTTTGGATAAATCTGAAGAGACTATATGCAATGTAATAAGTACTGTACACCTCAGGGCACGTTTACATTTTGCATTGCCAATTAAAGTCTCCAAAGTCTGCATCAGGAAAAAACAGAGCAACTGCAAATAGTGTGACCTATATGAACGAGAATGTGCGCATAACACCTCTAACAAGAAAACCGACAAATGAGAACGTAAAAATGGCTTGCCTGTTCATGCATCCTACTTGCCAACAGTCAGCTATGTTAGCCCACTGCTTACAGTCACATGCTTTTTTCAGGCAATTTGTCCTGTCAATTCATTTAGCCTATAACAGAAGGGACGCAGCCTGTGAGAAGCGATATTTAATGAAGTGCTGTGTACAAAACGTGTTCTTCACAGGCATATATATATAGATCACACATGTGAAAATGAATGCTAGGCTCAGCAGCCCTCTTCTAACACTGCACATCAAAAGGTTCACACTCTGTGCACTGCCTGATCCCCTGAGGAAAAGCACAGCGGTCTAAATATTAAAACATTCTCTCACTCTGTGGTGTCATAGCCAGGAATAAAACACTGACTGGAAGTCAGAGAAGGGCCTGCTGACTGAAAGCAGAGGCCTTATTTTATTTATTTTTTTAACAGGTACTTACATAGGGCCATCAGATTACGCAGCACATTATAAACACACTAAATATATATATATATATATATATATATATATATATATCTCTATACATATCTCTCTCTCTCTCTATTTATTTATTTTATTGTACCTCACATTCTTAGACCGGAGCCAATTAACATACCAGTATGTCTTCGGAGTGTGAGAGGAAACCGGAGTACTCGGAGGAAACCCACGCAGGCACAGGGACAGAACACTCCTACTTGCTTCACCCTCACATACTGCCATACTAATCTGAAAACATAAAATGCTAGACCAGACTGCCTGCTAAGGGGCAGCAACAAACGTTCTTCTCTTTTGCCTAACAGAAAGCAACATTCCTTCATAAAATGGAAGATGATTATCTTTGTAATCCAGCAGAACGCAGGGATACAAAAAAAGGATACTGCTTCAAAATACCAGTCTTTGGCTAGGTTCACACCTCTGCAAGTCGCATTTGCGCAAGCACAGCAGCCCATTCAGTTGAATGGGCCGCTGTATCTCCGTTTCATGCAGGAAAAGGTTCCTGGACTTTTTTTTAAAAAAATGCAGTTGCAGGGAAATTTCCTGCAACCAAAAACGTGCTGCGTTTTCAGATGCATGTGGGTGCTGTTAACAGTGTGGTTTGGCAGCAGGTGAGGGAACATATGTGGTTTACACGATGTCCCGCATAAGTGTTCACCTAGCCTTATGGTCTTTTTCCCCACTAATAACATTGGAAACAAGTTTACTAACCAGGTGGCAAACCTACACTGCTGCTAAGAGGTAAATTAGGCCTTTAGAAGCCCTGTATAACATGCCTCAAAACAAAATTAATGACATCCCAAAACGAAGTCACCATATTGGTTTTTGATCCAGATATTTTCTTCAACAAGGGCTTAGGACGTCAAAAGTCCATTAGTGGTTCTTTTCTGAGCCACAGGTTTAAAGTCTTGTACTCATGCCTGCATCATAAGCCCTATAAATGATACTGTTAGTTCCTCAATAAAACAATTTTAGGAAGTTGACAAACTGCAACAGTGTCAGTGTCTTTCTTCCACGTGCACGTAATTCTATATTAATTTGGCTCACTGGTAGATCATGGTAAATGGTCTGTAAGTGACCGAGTCCAAAACACTACATTACGTGACCCTATTCAGAACCTGACAGAAAGTATGGTAAGCCTTCTAAAGTCTAAGTAAACAAGTCATTTAGGCTTTCTGCTTGCATTCAGTGACCCACATATACTGTGCAGCTGCAGAGAAATGAGTTTAACTCTTAGTTGCGATCACTTGTATCCCTAAAGGCAAAACTTTCCTTTTTTTCTTTGGATAGAGTAG